TAACTCACCTTGTTGCTTTAAAGACCTGTGAGTGCCCTCCATTGTCTCTACAATGAGTCCTCCTTAGTCATGCTCTCAAGGTCCTGTGACTGCCTCCACTGTGGACTTCAGTCGCCTGCCGTGCCCCGGGAACCTACACCGCAGCTCTAGAAAACAGCATTTCTCAAATTTTCTCTTCCATACCTTTGAAAATGCAGCTTCCTCTGCCTGGAATGTACCTTTTATCTTCCTTTTCCAGACTCTTCCCTGACCTTTCATCCAGATGACTCTTACCAGGCTTAAACTCGCCTGGTAGCTCTTGTCAGGCTCCTGCATTGGTTAGAACCCCCCACTGTGTTCCTAACATCCCATATTTCTCCCATGATAAGATTTCTCCTCGTAGCTACTTAACCCTCGGACCCCCGGCTTTTCTTTCAACATTCTGAAGTCAAGGGGCCTGATACCTTAAAGGCTACTATTGCATGATATCTGGCATGCCGTAGATCTTTGATGAAGTTAACCTTGCTAAACTCCAGCTAGAAACATGGGAACAATGAGCTCTTCCTCTAGATACAATCCCTGCCCCATTTTGCAAACCCGGGTGGAGATGCAAAGAGATTAGAACATCCAGTGAGTGGCAGAGGTGAGACTAGAATGCTGTTGGACTCCAGATCCCTGTTCTCCATCCCTGTGCGCTGCACGCTCTCGAAGATGCTCTTCACTGGGAATTCTGTTTCTACCCGCTCTTTCTAATCCACCCCAGTTTGGAGACTGTGCATGAGAAAGGATTGCTGCTGTTGTCCAGCACATTGATGGCTCAGAGAGGGGACCGCTCATAGCCCAGACCGATCCCAAAAGGGGGAAAGAACATTTCTGAAGCAGGGAAAATAGAACAGAGGCAAAAACTGCCATCCTGAGAACACAGACCTTTCGTCGAGCAGGAGAGCGGTGGATGCCTGTGGTCAGTACCTTTAGCCTAGGTTTTCCTTGTGATGAGAACTCTTAAGATCTAGTCTCTGAGCAACTTTCAGATAATATAGTGCAATGTTGTCACCTGTAGTCATCCTGGTGCACTCCTCCAGAACCTGTTCCTCTTCTCACTGAAGGTTTCTTCCTTTTGACCCTCTTCATCGCAGTTCCTGCCCCCCGACTCCTCCAGAACCTGTTCCTCTTCTCACTGAAGGTTTCTTCCTTTTGACCCTCTTCATCGCAGTTCCTGACCCCCGACTCCTCCAGAACCTGTTCCTCTTCTCACTGAAGGTTTCTTCCTTTTGACCCTCTTCATCGCAGTTCCTGATCCCCGACTCCCCCTCTGCCAATCATAAGTCTGAGCCGAGTTTTTTTTTTTTTTAAGATTCTACATATAGGTGAGGTCCTATAGTATCTGACATTTTTTCCCCCCCTCACTTGGGACATTATGCTAAGTGTCCTAATCTTTAATGTTATATGGCCCATCACTTGGCTCAAAAATTATTTAAGTTTTTAAAGATCCTCTCCTAGTATGGGCAGAGATGTTTTTTAATGAAAAAGTCAACTGTTTCTCGTTCTGTGATGCTAAGGGATTAGTTAGTGCAGTGACTTTGCTAGGGGTCCTGAAGCAACTGTGAAGTTGGCTTGCAGGAAATCTGGGCAAGGAGGGGAGTATGGACGCATGTGACCCTGCCATTATGGGCCAGCTTAGTACCATTCTTCAGGTGAGCACCAACTGCAAAGGTCACAGAAAAGCTGAGCACGTGTCCAGCTGCTGAAAACACACCAGAAAGTCGGGGAACAGCCCTGTGCGTATTGTGGATGCTGGAGTAGTGAGGGTTCATCAAGCTCTCGGTCTGCCGAATGCTATTGCAAGATGGTTTCTAACACAAGAAGAACCGTTCCTGGTCCCCACGTATTTGTTCGTGACCCAGTGAGCAAAACCCAGCCACAGTCAGTGAAAGCACAAGGAGGAAAATGGGACACTAACAGAAATCCACACGCGGGACTGTAGGGACACATAAAGAACAGTTGCCTGGGATGGAGGGAGGTAAATGGAGCTGCAGAAGACCGTGTAAGGCAGCATTTATGAGATAAGCCTGCACAGAGTAATAGGTAAGGGGATTAAAATATAGATCTTTCCCCAGGAGAGGATGACCAAGAACTACTTACTTATAGACGGATGGTTACTGGTGGTGGGGGGCAGGGAAACAGGTGATGCGGATGGGTGGCCCTTGAGAGGAGCCCTGAGTGATGAGCAGAAGTGTGGAATCACTGTATTGTTCGCCTGAAGCTAATAGTACCCTGTGCATTAATTAACAAAGCCCTAAAAACTTTTCATGGCTATCGAGGTAGAATTAAACATCCTATTCACAAAGAGTGTTGTTGGGTACAGAGCAAGGACCTGAACCCAAGCTTCTGATTTCAGGTCTTTTCCCTTTCCACCCTGTGATGCAATAGCTTCTCTAAAGAGTTAGGAACTGGTAAATTTAAAAACCTGGACACCTGGTTGAATGATTATAGGCAACAGGTCTGGAGAAGACCTGTCTCTGTTAGGGTTTATGATTCCTCTGGAAGCTCTTCTTGGGCCAGCTCTGGTTAACTTCTGAGTGCACAGGTGGCTTGGTGTGTCTGCTGTTGGGGGCATCTGGATGGAGAGAATCCAGGAGACGACTTCTGCTTTGGTCCCTGGACCGAGGAAGAGTGGCTGTGGGGAGAAGTGGAAAGGGAGTGAGGGGCTGGGGGAGGTAATGCTGCTGGGAGAGGTTAGGACAGGTTTGGTCCCCTTCCCATTTTCCTGCTCAGAGCAGCCCTCCCTATCCCACTTCCTCCCTTCTGCACACAAAAGGGCAGGCCTGAGGACAGGAGAAGTTACTGGTCCCAAAGGAATTGAGGATAAGAGTTGGCACTATGGGTGGTCTTGATGGCAGAGGGGAGAGGCCCTGTCATAGAGTAGGAGAGACCCTTTCCTTCTGGAGGAAGGCACACCCCCCCACCATGACATCTTTGGATGTGGGGGAGGGATTCCTGGTGGGGGGTTGCTGAACCTGAGAATATGGTCAGGGAAGACCTTATAGCAGATCTAGGACTTTCGGACCCAGCTTTGGATCTCTCAAAAGCTTCTGTAAGAAGGTTTGCCTCCTCGATGCAGAAATCTCAAAGCCACAGGATGAACTACAAAGGGATGACCAGACCCTGAGAGAACTATTTGAAATGGATGCATTCCTGGAAAACTGTAAACTTCTAAAATTGAACCAGGAAGAAATCGACAACCTAAATAGACCGATATCTAGTAACGAGATTGAAGCAGTGATCAAAAACCTCCCAAAAAACAAGAGCCCAGGACCTGACGGATTCCCTGGGGAATTCTACCAAACTTTCAAAGAAGAAATAACACCTATTCTCCTGAAGCTGTTTCAAAAAATTGAAGCAGAAGGAAAACTTCCAGACTCTTTCTATGAAGCCAGCATTACCCTGATCCCCAAACCAGGCAAAGACCCTACCAAAAAGGAGAATTTCAGACCAATATCACTGATGAATATGGATGCTAAGATTCTCAACAAGATCCTAGCAAACAGGATCCAACAGCACATTAAAAAGATTATCCACCATGACCAGGTGGGATTCATTCCTGGGCTACAAGGATGGTTCAACATTCGCAAATCAATCAGTGTGATAGAACAAATTAATAAGAAAAGAGAGAAGAACCACATGGTCCTCTCAATTGATGCAGAAAAAGCATTTGACAAAATCCAGCATCCGTTCCTGATTAAAACGCTTCAAAGTATAGGGATAGAGGGAACATTCCTGAACTTCATCAAATCTATCTATGAAAGACCCACAGCGAATATCATCCTCAATGGGAAAAAGCTTGCAGCTTTCCCTTGAGATCAGGAACACGACAAGGATGCCCACTCTCACCACTCTTGTTCAACATAGTATTAGAAGTCCTAGCAACAGCAATCAGACAACAAAGAGAAATAAAAGGTATCCAAATTGGCAATGAAGAAGTCAAACTCTCTCTCTTCGCAGATGACATGATTCTTTATATGGGTTTTCCCACCTAGAATCTCAGACGTCTGTCCAGCCAGACCTTCCACTGGATGAGCTCCTTGGCTGTCACCATCCCTTTCTCAGGTGAAGGAAAAGGAAAGCACTTCCTTAAAGGGACAAATGGCATTAAGGAATGGGCAGATAGGAGAATCTGTGACACAACACTGAGGAGAAGGAGGCACCAGACTAAAGTGCCCAACCCTCCCTACCATCTCCTGAGGTAGTAAGAGGTACGCGCGGGTAGGAAACCAGAGTAACTCCCAGAAGCTCTGGGGGAAAGTACAATTCCTTAGGAGCCTAGTAGGAGGACAGAATCTTTTTTTAGCCCCTCCCCTTTTTGGGAAGGTGACTTGAGCATCACTCCTGACTGGGTCATTGGCTGGGTCTTCTCCTATTTTTTGTCTGACCCAAGAAGGGCCATGGGCTGTGCAAGTGAAGACTTTCATGGTTCTCACTCCAAACAGAGCACAGCTCTTCTGACACACTTATTTTTCTTCATAATAATGAACAAGAAGCTGGATCCACGGACAGAACCAGCAGCTGGAGAGATTCTGATGAGCACGGTCAGATCGGACACAAGGGCTGTGTAGCATACTGCTGTGACCAGTGCTCTGGGCACCAGGCTGAATGGAAGCAAGGACTTTAGTGTAAATCAAATACAAGCTAAACTTTCAAGGACTAAACCAGTGTCTTCCAAATTTAACTTTTTTTTTTTTTTTTAAACACATGCCTCACCTTTCCCAAAGGTTCTGAGGTAATTTTGCTATTGACTGTTCTTCCCTTGCTCGGGAGTTTTTGTCCAGTTTAATTCTCTGTAGGGTATATTCTTGAAGTTACATTTTTATTTTCAAACCTGAAACTACCACATTTAGTGTGCTTTTAAGAAGTTCCCTCCCCCACTCTAGAAATGGGGATCTCCTTCCTTAAAAGTCGTGCCCATCCTCCCTGACCCAGATGAAAATGCCTGGATCAAACTTTGGAATATATGGAAACAAAGACTAAGACTTCATGGGAGGGCTGATGAAGCAAGATGGGCACATCCCACTGCAGAAGGGACTGCATGGGACACACTGGTAAGGTTGGAAGCTGTGAAGATGTGTGTTGCTCAGGGATCGATGTCTCATATAGGCAGGGTCAATGTATGAACTGTTTCTTCCCACAGCTCTGTGTAGGGCATCCTTGACTTCATTGTTCCTCAGGCTGTAGACAACAAGGGAGTGATGGTGGTGTATGTCACTGAGAAAAGGTCTTGTTCTGCAGAATCCTCAGACATGGGCTTGAGGTAGACAATGGAGACACAGCCATAGTGGACAGTGACCACCGCGAGGTGGGAGGTGCAGGTGGCAAAGGCCTTCTTCTGGCCCTGGGCAGAGGGGATCTTGAGGATTCTGGAGATGAGGAGGATGTAGGAGATGAAGACCCAGCCCCACAGGGACCAGGATCACACACAAACTGACAAAGTCAATCTCATCGATAGTGATATCCATACAGGAGGGTTTCAGGACAGGGAGGATGTCACAGAAGAAATGTCCAGCCACTCTGTGACAGAAGAATAAAGCAAATATGGGTGTCACCTGGATGACTGCCGTGGCCAGACCAATGCCAGAGGTGCCGCACATCAGCTGGGCACACACCCTCCTGCTCAAGACATCTGTGTACCTCGGGGGGTTGCAGATGGCCCCATAGTGGTCACAGCCCATGGATGTGCTCAGAAGGCAGCTGCTGCTGGCTAAGGCAACAAAGAAGAACATTTGGATGGGCTGATTCTGGGCTAGGAGACCAGATGGCATCCGTGGAACAGGGACAAGCGTGTATGCGGTCTCCAGACTAGCCAGCGTGCTCAAGAAGATGTAGCCGGGTGCATGTGGGGGGACGGTCAGTGCAGATGAGGTTCATGAGGAGAGCATTGCCAGCCAGGCTGGATGTGTATGAGACAAGAAAAATCACAGACAGGGTGATCTGATGGTCATGAAACCTGGAGAAGCCCAGAAAATCACACTCCCTCACCTCTGTGAGGTTCTTTCCCTGCAGCCTTCAGTTTCCGTGTCTGAGAACAACACAGGTGTCAGCCTGGGGCAGGTTGCCCCCTGACATGGGCTCGAACAGTGATAGAGGAAGGGATACAGAGAACGGAGGCACGTACACCTCTGTCGTTCTCTTGAATTGGGGGCTCGTGTAGGTCTTAGGGCTGGCTGACTCCCTCCCCCCATTTGAGTTCTTTCTCTCTGCTTGATCCTCCCTTAAGTCCTGGCCCAGGAGTTCCCGTTAGATGAGACCACCCCACATGCCTTTTCAAAGTCTCCTCATGAACACTGTTTCTGTAGGGCATGGATGGGAGGATTTTACCTTTAAGAACAGCCCACAGGGGCCCGAGCCCGTGCTGCTCCGGCCTTCCTTGTCTCTTCCAGGGAAAGGACCAGCCACCAGAACAGGGAATTAGGGGACTGGGGAGTCAAGCTTTTACAGAAATAGTCATGGATGGGTCGTTGTCACTTAGGAAAAACACGAAACACTGTACAGTTGGTAGAATTACTCTCAGGGACAGGCTCTTCAGGAACATTTGAATGGGTGTGTGGATGAAGCGTCTTGGGCCCAGCCGAGATGTTCTGTCATGCTGTTGGCAGACTGCTTTGTTGTAACGACGTGCCTAGAGGGACTTGAACTGTTGAGGGGCAAGGAAGGGGAGAGGGCGAAGTGGCGGGAGAAGAGGACTGGTAACAGGAAAAAGAAATAACTGAATGAAAGGACTACCTGACCTTTTTCAGCAGAGGGAACTTGAAGAATAAAGAAGGTCAACAACTTAAAATCAAATGTTATACTATGTTGTGATACCAGCCTCTCCCGATGTGCAGCATTCAGTTCATGGAATTGGGCATAGAGAGCGCTGGGTGATGGCACAGTGTAGACAGGCAGCCAGCAGGAGGCAGGACAGGGGAAGAAACCCTAGGGCCTCTCTGGTTCTGCCTCTCCCCTGTGAGCACTCGCCATCTTTCCTACAAGTTTGGTGAGGGACCCTGGGAGATAGCCGCCATCTGTCAGATGTTTAAAGAACAAGGTAACCACAGGCTTCAGAGCTGGGGCACATCACAGAAACCGCCACTAGGAATCTAGGAAACATAATCTAGAAAATGTTGCAGATTTTCTGGAAAGTATGCCAGCATGGGAAATAAGGAGGCATGCATTTAAGGGAGAAATGGGTGTGCCACAAAGTAATTTAAGAGACCAACCAACTGGAAAGGTAAGGATTCCAGAGCAACCATGCGACTCAAGGCAGATTTGTAGAAAGAAGGAGGTAGAGGGGTGATTTGAAGATAAAAGTAAACGTTTAATTCCTTGGTCTCCATGGCTGCATTTGGGGCCAAAAAATGACATGTGACTAGAGGCAACTAGGTTGGGTAGTGACCTCAAACCTTCCTCCCTTGCTGAAGGGTCTGTTGAATGGAGCTGCTGTGTGACCATGGATGGGTGGATGGATGTGTGTGTGGACTACACTGCACAAGACCCTTGAAGGAACAGTAATACGGTTAAAATGTGTGTATGTGTATATGTGAATGCACATACATTATATGTGCAAGAAAAATCCAAAGATCTAGCTGACACTCTGATGTGTTCACTGTTATGTGGGGATGGAGGGAGTGAGGTTACAGGAAGCTTGGCTGACTTTTTACATGTGTTTACAGTGAGGATGGTGACCCTTGTTCTAAAATGCTACAGAGCATAAAAGCATGGCTCAAAAAGAGTTAGGAGAAGTCAAGGAGGAGAACTTCGATTGAGCAAGGATATGGTTGGTGACTGGTCTGAAAGTCTGGTTACAGGGAGTGAACAAGGAACTTCAGTAGCTCATGGAGGAGAACCGCAGATCCCGTCTGCCTTTTCGGTTTCTTGTTCAGCCTGATGCAATGAGAGATGATTAGTGGTGAAGGAGACACCGAGGGAAGAGGAGAAAGCACTGAGCTGAGTTGTCAGGAGGAGGAATAAGAAAATCCCTGGTATCCTTAAGTTATGGTCTGAAAAGTAGCATTACTGTCACCCCAAACCAGCCAGATTTGTGTCATTATGCCTTGGGTAGATACGAATTGACTGTCTTTGAGGGGATAATAAGGGTAGAGACCGGATGGCTGACTCTGGTAATGTTATTGGCTGGTGCAGGGCTGGATTGAACTGAACAGACCATGAAAGGTTACCTTAAGACCTTCCTAAAACTTGGAAATAATGCATGTGTTCTCCTGTGGATGAAGCCCTGTGAGAGCACAGAACAATGGGAACATTGGAGGCAGTGTTCTTTGCACGTTAGTATCTGCTTTGGGGGAAAGGTGTGTGTGACGTTTGGAAGGGGAGAAGCACCATGGCTAGGGAGAGCTACCACTTTTGCCTCCCCGAGGTGCTCAGTGGGCAGCGGAGGGCTGTGCTCCATGGGCGTCACCTGCACACGGCCTGTCCTCCCAGGTGGCCAGACATACTTCCTACAGCTGCTGTCCTCTGCACATCCTGACTCTTCCTCACACTCTTCCCAACCACATTCCTCTTCAGAAGTTCTGTTCTACTGCTTCTTGTTACGTCTCCCGTGATGTTTGAGCATCGTACACAAATTAAGGGCAATCGCCCACTTAGCTCACTTCTCCACTCCTCTTGGAAGGGCAGAAGCATTCCAGGATGATTCCTGGAGAGGAACATAAGACTCAGATGACAAATGCAGGGCTCTTGATGCCTTTGGAGATGAGCGTGGCCCCAGAGGACAGTATGGGAAGCTGGGGACATGGAAGGAGATCACACTCCTTTCACCCTCCTCGGGAGTTCTTACACAGAGGACCTCCAGTGGCAGCAGATGCCAGGGCTCATGGTGGGAGGAGAGAGGTGGTCCCAGAGAGCACTGTGAAGCCAAAAGGGTGTGGAGTGGCTGGGTGGTTTCTGCCATTGCGGATTGCCTGGGATAAATGCTCAACAGTTAGAACGTGGGTCCATGAACTTCAGGAGGATTTTGACATTGGGTGGGGGAGGGTTGGCTCTTTGAGACTGCCCACCATAAGTGACTGCAGCTGGACACTGAGAGGCAGCCCTTCTCCCACCAGAGCCTTCTTGTGACCGCACCCTAAGGGTGTTTCTGTGTAAGGGACACACCAGCAGATAATCTCGAAAGCACGGTGTAGCACAGAGAGCTTTCAAGATGATTTATACATTCCAGAAGGATAGAAACCCTGTGGGGGAATAAGAATACGGAAATGTGCTCATGCATCAAAATTTTAGTCATGAAGCCAATATTTCTACCAGAAGAAAAAGACAAATAGAGGGGAGAAAACACCGAGGGTATAGAGGAAACACCATTTGCAAAGGGAGGAAATTATGACAAAAGCCATAGGTATTTATAAATGCCTAAATCTTTATAAGCAAAATATGTGCCTTGAAACAGAATCTATGCTTTTAAAAAACCTAAAAATGCCAGGTAGGCTGAGCCCCTGTAATGACCTTTTGTGTGTGAAGGAACCGTGAGTTAAAAAAATAACATGTTTTTTTGGTGGTGGTGGGGCTGTTTTTTTTTTTTTCCCCACCCATAGATTTTATCCCTTTTATTTTTCCTTTCGTTTTAAAATCGGTAGAGCCAGAGAGCCAACCAGGGAGGAGACAAGAGACTGAGGATTATGAAGAAGTATTCAAATTAAATGCGACTGGTGACTCCTTTGGGAGGGCAGTCTTCTCCTACCCAAGAGCCCACCCACTTTGAGTTTGTGAGGTGTGCGTGTGTTCTCTCATGGTTTCGGAGCATACCAGGCAATCACAATTTATTTGCAAATCATTGCAATGCCAAGAAAATAGATTTCCAGTTTTGGTCAAAGAAAGAGTCTTGGTGTCTTCTAGAGCTCAGCCCTACTAGATTCTAGGTCTGCTCTCGTAGAGGATTAGGTCACTTACGTGTCACTGGACTCTGGCGAAGGCACAGGTGATACTTTCACACTGAGCATTTCTGGTCCTGTTGGCTGTACCTTTGGAAGAGTTGCCCCTTTAAACTTGGATTTGGCGGGGACTCTCAGGAGAATTTCTGCCTAGCTTTTGTCTCCTGGGTTGATTGCCAAGAGACTTACTGGGCATCCCATAGGTCTGTGTGGAGTCAGAATCCTGAAACGAGTAGGGGATCTCTGCACCAATGGGTCATGCAAGGAACACTGGGCCAGCTTCCATCTCGCACGGGCTGGGCCTTTTCTTCTAGAGGAGAACAGCTCAACTCAGATGAAGATGTGCTCCGTGTCCCATGGTGCTGTCTTATGTCCTTTTGAATCCGTATTAGTATATCGTCCTTGTTAGTGTCAGTGAAAATGCCCTTCTGTAACAGTGGGGTGTGGTGCCCCTCTGCATCTATGGGAAGAGCTTCTCCTTTCTTGTGGTAGCAGACCTACCTGTCTGGTTAGGTAAGGATCAGGCTTAGCAGCAGGGACTGAAAATAGAGCACGGACAGTCCTTTTCATTTCTAGGAGTACACCAGAACATTAAGGCAGAGGATTTAAAGTTGGGGTAATCCTCTCCCCAATCCCACCCTCACTAACAGGGAGCCCCTGTACTGCACGAGGCCACCTGCTGAGCAGGTTTTTTTTTTTTTTTTGTAGGTGCCCCCTCCCGGGGTGGGGGCTATGGTGAGGGGTTGTTGCCTCAGCCAGAGCTTGAAGTGAAATGCTGTGTTTTGCCTTCTGACTCCAGACACAGCTGGGTTAGTCCCCCTCCCTGCCCCCACAGACTCTGGGCCCCAGCGCAGTGGGTCTGTAACAGGAGCAACTTTGCTTCTTGATCCAGTGGCTGTGAGCAGACATGTGTGCCTTTGCCCCTGTCCCAGCTGTCTGGTGGTACCTCTTGGTGTCTCCTGTATTGGATTTTCAGAAGAATGGCCATAGCCAGTCAAAACCTAGATGGAAGATCCTGGAACACAAATGGAGGTTTGTTTATAAGTTAGCCACTTGCTCCCATCAAGGTAAAGAATAAAAGTGACTCAGGTCACGTTGTACTTGCCTTCTCTTATTGGGGTGTTCTGGGATACCTGTTCTCGTGAACAGCAGAAAGAGCCATGAATACCTAGAACATCTTGGCATTCCTCTCCAGAAGGGACGACACACTGGTGCTCTTGAGTAAAGGTAAGAGAAACATTTGCGTCCTCACCCCAACTCAGGTCTACATTAAGGCATATCCCAAACTCAAGGAGACCTCATTGTTTTAACCTCAGACCCCTCCAGAGTTTCCCCCTATGAAACAAAACTGCAAGCCCTCTTATCAAAGAAAAATTCTTTATAGGCTTTTCTGGTAAAAGCCAGTCCTGGTAAAAGCCAGTGCTCTGACCTGGTTTTCTGTAGCTTCACAAATAGAACCAGATCCACTCTTGTACACGATAAAGGCTCAAAAATTGCTTTTCTCATGAGCACTGTCTATAGGGTTCAGTACTCCTTGCGCACCTGTGCACTGCTCGTTCCCACGGCTCTCCCTGCCTTAGTGGTCAGTGTGGGGGAAAGTGGCCATTACCACAGCTTCTGACACGGAATCCCTCTCTGATCAAGCTCCTGGGTCACCCTGCTTTGCAGGTCCTTCCTTTTCCCTTCTGGATTCTCAAGGACTGAAGTGGTTTTCTGTGAGTTCTGCTATTTTCTGTGTTGTGACAACCAATATACCTGAGAAAAATGCCTAAAGCAAGTAGGCACAAATCCTGTCTCTATTTTAAATGAGGTTAAAATGGAAACTTTCTTCAGTTTGGAAGGAGCCATCGATGTGATATTAGTTAATAAAAAACATGACACAGATCCACTGACAGCAATTTCCAGAGGAAATGATGGACAAGTTCAAGGACTCTTGTGTCCTTTGGCCAGAACAAGACATGCAGAGGGGATGAATGTGGAGATAGGGAGGAAATGCTGTGGGAGAGCTGTGGCTTTAGTGCTGTTGCTTCAAGAGAATCACGGGTCCTGTTCCTGGTGCCTCAACAGGATGGTTGCTGGGTGGACAGCTGAAGCCATTGTAGAAGCAGAAAAGTGTCCTCTGCATTACGTTCATCCTAGACCGCTAGAGCTTATGGGGACCAGGGACACAGGAGTGTTTCTTTTGGATGAAGTGTGGGTCCCCTAGAAGGAAGGACTGGTGTGTAGTCCTATTGTGTTCTTCCCATAAGAGTCATCTCAGGAGGTAGAGGGTCCCCAAAGGCAAGAAACAAGGCAGATACTAGATTCTAGGGCACAGAGAAGAAGTGACAAGTGATCACTGAGGGTAAATAATCCATCAAACTCAGAGTTGAGACGGGGAGTAGAATATCAACCTGAGATTGAGGAAAGCCTGAAGATGGAGAGGTATGGATTCTAACGCAGGCTGACTAGAATATAAACTCCAAAACCAGTACCATGATCTGCTCAGTGCTGTATTTGCACCCGGCATAGTGTCTGGCACAAGAGTAGGTGCTCAATTAAAAAAAAAAAACACACACAAACAAAAAAATGGTGAAGCCACTTGAGTATACATTGATTGGATTTAAAAAAAAAATGTTTTAGGTTCCTTGACCAAGGGGGGTGTTCAGTCAAAGCCATCTACCGATAAGCCTCAGCACAGTGTCTGGGTGAACATATCTGTGTTCCTGGAGGAAATCTGTCCTCTACAGGGAGAGCCTGGTCTTTGCTTAGTATGCACAGTGCTCACAGTACAGGAAAGGTGGCTGACGTTAAACTATAAAGCCTTGAGTCATGAGCTGGTGAATGGAAACGAATTTTCTACATTGCTGAAGTCCCTGTCTAGCCAGCTTGATGTTCTGGATGGTTTCTACCTCACCAGAGAGGTTGCCGTGTTCTTAGGAAGTCCCTCCAATCTACTGGAGCACCCGGGCAGATCTTGGATTCTCCCTGCTGGACCCCAATGCTGCGCTAATGGGATTCCTGGGTTCTAGTCCACTTCCTTGTAGCTGGCATCTGTCTCCTCATTGACCCTGGGTGAACGAATGCAGGAGTTGGAAGTAATCCCTCCTGTTATCATTTTGAAGCTCTCTTGGGTGTGGTCTTTCTGATTTCCCTTGGCTTCATGCCCTGTTATTGGGGCAAATTCTGCCTTGTTTTCCTCATGCAGTGAAATTCTCTTTGGGGTCCTTCTCTAGGAAAGCACTGTCTTTCTGTTGGGGATGGGCCAGGAACTGTGGCTTGTGGCTCTTGTGATGGAAGGAACTAGTGATAAAACTGGGTGAGTATTTTGTAGTACTACAGTTAGGATGCTGGGTGCTCAGGGCTGTACCTGAAGGAGGTAAGTGGGGATCAGGTTATGGAGGACAGTGTCACATTAAGGGTTTAAATTACATTCTCCAGGGGCGCCTGGGTGGCTCAGTGGGTTAAGCCACTGCCTTCGGCTCAGGTCATGATCTCAGGGTCCTGGGATCGAGCCCCGCATCGGGCTCTCTGCTCATCAGGGAGCCTGCTTCCTCCTCTCTCTCTGCCTGCCTCTCTGCCTGCTTGTGATCTCTCTCTGTCAAATAAATAAATAAAATCTTTAAAAAAATAAATAAATAAATTACATTCTCCGTGAGAAGAACCGGGAGTCATGAGCAGTATTCCTGAGGACTTCAGGACCGTATCCTGAAAATCAAGTGTCGTATGATACCACAGGGAATTTTTAGAAAAAGGCATGTTTGCCTTATTGCACAAGGACTCCAGACTTCTACACATTTTTAGTTTCCATTCCTGCTGCTAGTTTTCCTCATTACTTGATGTCAGTCTCTACATTATTTTTACTTATCTCATTATAGTTTTTTCTCTGCTGTAACCTCAGCCCTCTTTTTGATTTTTAGCTGGAAAACCAAATAGGATTCCTTTTGAAATTTTACACACATTTGGAATTAATATGAAGTAGTAGCTTGTCGGTATTGCCACTGCCTTACTTGGAGGGCTCTGGCTTTGCGACGTATCTTCCTAGTTATGGGTTCCCCTCCCGTCCCACTTTACAACCCGGTTGTTCTGGATGATTAAAAAAACCAAAACCAAAACACAAACAAAACCCACTGATTTCCAAGTAAGTGGATCAAAGTGAAATGCTTGAGACCATGCATACTAAACAAATGCAGGTGGGATGACACAACACACTTTCCTACTCAGTGACACAGAGACAGGAAATTCAAAGGCAAAAGCACTCTGGATATGGGATCTCTCATGGCGTTGTCTTGAGTGGAAGCACATTTCGCTCTCAGAGGCTCCTGTTGACTGAAGACCTCAGTCCCAGACCAGGGGCTTGATGACCACGTAGCCTTGACTCTCATAGTCCAGAGCACTCCAGTCCAGCACGTTGGGATCAAGGAGGTAGGATCCTTGCTGCACAGACAGGATCTGTTCTGTGGACAGCACGGAGTCCCACATGTACAAGTCCCCGATCTCCCCCACGAAGGACTGGTTCACGTCAAACGCCCCTCCATATGAATCCTGCTCCTGCCCCAGGATGATCTTGGGCTGAGTCGCCACTGAGTAGCCCTGCTTCAGGCCCTTCTTCACCAGTGGTTTCCCATTGACCCAAAACTCAGCAATGCCTGTGGAAGACTCCCAGGTAACACAGATGTGCGTGGGGCTGGGAAACGCCTCGGCAACTCTGAAGGTGACTTTGGTTTTTCCAATGTGCAGGGAGTACTCCCCAACTCTTTCCTTGAAGACAAGGATCTCATTGTCCTTGCCCCGGGCATTGTAGGAGAAGAGGCTGTGGGCACGGCTCAGGTCGCTGTAGGCTCGGAAACACAAGGTAAAGCTCTTCAGAGGCTTCTCCATCTTTGGAGTCAAGGTCACATGGTCAGTAGAAGATTCTTGAGGGAAGACAAATATCTTACCCCTGAGGTCTGGGAGTGGGAGTAGAGAAAAAGGACCTTTACCCTACACACAGGGAGAAAAATAACTTACCCAACCCCCCTCTCATCTCGTGCTCCTTGACCATCCCGTGACCACCCTACCTGTGCGAGCAAAGGCCCCCAGGAGACTGGCAAGGGCAGAGACCAGAAGCAGCAGCTTGTCCATGTTCTTGGCCTGGGGCTGTGTTAGCAGTAGAGGGACTGGGGTGAGGGCACAGAGAGCACCGTGGTTGTCACCCAGCTTCCGAGGCTCACGCTCTTAGACCTCAGGCTCCCCAGGGTTTATATGCAGCCGTGGGGGAGGATGGGGGATGGACAGCACCAAGGATGTGTGAGGTATTTGCCAGCCTGCTCCCAGTGCCCAGGGTCAGAGCTGCTGAGTAGAAGAGGGCCGAGCCTGGCCAGGAAACTCCTAGGGGTTACTTATTAGCTACAAGGGACTTCTAGGGTGCTGCCCCTGTGACCTGGTTCTGGGCTGGGAGAGCAGAGGTGGAGCTGGCAGGGAGGGGTCTGGTTGGCCCGGGGAGGTAGGGCGGCTCACCCTGTTGATGTGGGGGCCTCTGTGGGTTGTTTGTGCAAGGCCTCCCCCTCCCCATGGTTCTGTGGAGTGGACTTCTGTGTAGGACATCCTGGGATTCTGCTTTCTGCAGATCCTGAAGAGTCTCTTCCCCTTTGATTAATCAATATTGAGCAACGGGTCTTGCCATTGGCAAGGGACAAGAGAATTAGAGGGTGCACTGTCTGTCTCCCTGAAGCTTATATTTTCAGCTATTACTCAGCTCTTCTGAGTATTGTGGTGTTTCTTTATGCTGGATTTTCCCATTTCTCATTGGGACGTACTTCCCTGGTAACCTATCCACTGTCTGCAGATAGGTTCACCTGGCACTCGGTTTTCTTCACGTCCCTCATATTAAGAGTATATTTATGTGAATTTTTGGTGATAGCCTGATTCATACATGACTTAAAATCATTCATTCATTCCCAAGCATGATCCTGGGTGGTGGAGGTTCATTGGTGACCTACTGTGGCACAACCCCCGTGATCTAGGTTTCTGTTCCCCCTGTTAAACTAAAAATGCAGGGGCGCCTGGGTGGTTCAGTAGGTTAAGCATCTGCCTTCGGCTCAGGTCAAGATCCCAGGGCCCTGGGCTCGAGCCCCACATTAGGGTCCCTCGTCAGCGGGAGTCTGCTTCTCCCTCTGCCCTTCTGCTGCCTGAATTAGACCCAGGTCCTTCAGCGTGGGAGCCAGTGCCGCTCACCCTCTGCTGCAACCTTGCAACCAGATCTTATCGTACTCCTGTTGTCTCTCTCCTTGCTGCTCCTCATGCGTGCTGGGCTCTCCTGATCTCACTACTTCTAGTTGTTGTCTCTTATCCATTTGTTTCCTACAGTTCTTCACAATTTCCAAAGACTGTCCTGATGTCTCAACTAGACCTGATTTTCACCTTTAACTCTCCGTAAGTTTAAGATCAAAGACTTGAGTAGGATAGACTAGCAGTTGACTATGGTGAATCGCTAAACCTCTGTGAACCTTGGTTTCCTTTTCTGAAAAGCCAAGAAATAACTATCAGCTCCGTGTTTTTGTGAGGCTAAATGAGCTACCATAGTGTGCACAGAGTACACAGCACTGTGTCTGGGTATTACTTTGAATTCTTGATGGACATTACCATTGTCTGTCTCCTATTACCGATAACTAGTGTATTTATCTCTTATCCTTTCTTGACTGACACTGACCATTAGGGCTTCTTCATTTTGAGGTGACCCATTTTACTTAATTATTCTTACACATGAAAAGAGCCCAGTGTATATTTGTGGAATCAAAGGATTCAAACAGGGTGAGCGCTTTTTACATAAAACTGCAGCAATAAAAAGTAGAATCCAGGGGAATGATAGGAGCAGGTCATGCTGAAAGCATGAGTGGGGAGGTAACCTCCCCCAGGAACACAGGTACTGTCTGATTTCCTTCCCCAGATGGTAATTAGCAGGTGCCATGAAAGTTAAGGGAACACAGGGCTCACCAGCTGCTTCTGGTTTCCATCATAAATTATTCCGTTAATCTCTTCAAATGCAATGTGAGGTTGTGTCTGGCCCACCAGGGGTGGGGTTGGTCCTGGAGAGGTCAGAGGTAAGAGTTGATGCTGTTATTAGGGCCACATTCTGGGGTTAGAGCTGGACTTGAAAACTGTGTTTAGACACTGAGCAAAAAGACCAGCTGGGAAGTAGGTCTCATAGTAGATGGGAAAAGGCAGCGGCAGCATCAGTGGTGGGGCGGGGGGCATTTCTCCTTTTTGGTTTCCTTCCCTGGAATATGTTTCTTAGCTCTTGGCAGAGAACAGCCTGAGCTTTAGGAGTCCTCAGATTGGAAACCAGATCTTTCCTGTTGCAGAAAGGAAGGCTCTTATGTCAGAGGAAAATGAATCTGGGGGCCTCAGAACTGGGTGGAATTCTCCAAGCAAATGAAATCTGTGGCGGCTGAGAGGCTCCTGGGTGCCTCCCTGCCAGTGGAAGCTCAGGGGAGAGGCGGTGGTTCCTGTCTGCCTGGTTCTGGAAGGCTTGAGGGTGTGGAGGAAGAGCAGGGCCACCAGTGTGCCTCAAGTTGAGCTGTCCCAGTTCCGTCAGTTGGCAGGCAGTAAAGTTTGCCTTCAGGAGGCAAGGGGCGGCGGGAAGAGGGCAGTGCCAGGAAAAAGTGTAGCATGAACTCAGAGCTGGAGAAAGCTAGAGTGTGAACATTACCCAAGGGACTGAAGAATATTTGACCCCTTCCAAGGCCTTGGGTGTTTATAGAACACATAAAGTCCTAGTAATCATTGATAAAGACTAGATAGGGAGAGCCAGAAGAAGAACATGAGCTAGACCAGCATTTTGGCACTAATAAAGGGTTAGTTGCCATGTGTTCTGTTAGCTGTGAGGAAACCTGAAAGTATTTGTAAGCAAAGGAAAGACCACAGAGACGTCCAGAGTAACTGAGCACTGCCGTCATTGGTGCTTATGTAAAATCAAAAGCATGTAATCTTAGACTGATGGCAGGGTCTTAAGATTTCATTTTTAAGGAACCTCTACACCCAACATGGGGCTCGAACTCACAACCTCAAGATCTAGTCGTACACTCCACTGAGCAAGCCAGCCAGGCACCCCAGAGATGAGCTTTGTAACAGTATATGGAATATGGAATCAGATTTTTCTCTAAATTTATGATTGCATACGTTTTGGAAAAATGTGGTGCTAGTGGTGCAGTATTGAGGGGAGGAAGTTCCTTTGGAGGAGGTAGAGGGAAGTCAGGTTATTCAAATGCTGAATTTGACATGATAGTATGATTTAAACTTTGAAAAAGCCAGTGGAGACTTTGTAATATATATGTGCCACTTGGGATTAAAAATACAAGTTTTGGAAGAATCAGCATATAACAAATGGAAACAAATGGATTGGAACGCAAGTTGGTGCAGCCACTTTGGAAAACAGTGTGGAGATTCCTTAAGAAATTAAAAATAGAGCTTCCCTATGACTCTGCAATTGCACTACTAGGTATTTACCCCAAAGAAGCAGATGTAGTGAAAAGAAGGGCCATCTGTACCCCAATGTTTATAGCAGCAATGGCCATAGCCGCCAAACTGTGGAAAGAACCAAGGTGCCCTTCAACGGACGAATGGATAAGGAAGATGTGGTCCATA